AACCGACAATCAGAAATCTAGGTATTTTATATCCATACTTATATGGCATTTTATGTTTGTCATAGCCCAAGGAACAGGTCCAAAAAATATATCCAGACAATTTGGAAGCTCTTTGTATACTTTTGTTAAATTCAAAAACAATAATGATGGCTATTTTTGCGTTTAATAAAATAAACCCATATTTTGCCAATAGTTTTTTGCAATGGATTTATAGAAGAACATAAGAAAAAGGAATAAGTTTCGCCCATCAAAAGATTTGGTCTTGCAATAAGCTGTGCAATATGTAATCGTACCGTAGTTATAATATCAGTCTGAGCCAAAGTAAATAGTATTGTTGTTTCAATTACAAGAAGCCATATAACAATCAACACAACGTTCGGGATCTTGTTACAAAGCTATGGATTAGTTTACTTACCTTTCTTGTATTGAATACTCAATTGGTTGTTTGGTACCAGTTATACATCGCTGTTTGTGAAGACTATGAAACAACATATTGTCTTTAAAGCTTAAAGATATTTTTCTACTTAATATTTTTTAATCATTTTATTAAGGAGTGTAAATTTTTTATATTAACCTAGTTGAATTTCCAGTTATCAAAATCATTGTTTATCAATATGTTTTTGACAATTATGCCTGCAAATAAGTCAAACTACTGGTCATTTAATAGTTTACCATCGTGGATTACTCAGTTGTGGTAGCATAGTAAGAAAAGTAGTTATTTTATATTTTTAGAAGTGGATATTATCGTGTTTCTATTAGTTTTGTCTAAGTAATTTGTTAAAGTACAAATTGTACTAATTAGCTGTATTTTTTCTTAACCAATAGATAATGCACTTCTGAATTCATCAAACTATAATTTTATAAGGGCTTGTAACTACGCGTAAATTTAAATGTATAAAATCGTTTCAAAAAAGGGAGTTATTTTGTTTCCGTTATGCTTTAGTGAAATTTGAGTGTCGCTGATACTCTTTTAATGCACCTTATTTCAGGTTACATCATCGCCACCCATCATAGTTTAGTATGGGGTTGAGGAACGATCATTTTGTCATCAGGGAGAAAATGATGTAGTGATGTCATCTACCGAAGAACATGTTAGGCTGTTTTCAAAACAGAGAGTTGCTTCAATGTCATTAAACAAGCCATTTAATCAATGAATATGTGGATTTTGAAATTAATAATACAGTTAAATAAATACGTTTATGGATTAGGGCGAAAAATATTAAACTATAAAAATCTTCCTCAACGATGTTAGACCATATTAAGTTTTATTGATGTTCACTAAGTTACATTCGACTGAAAATCTTAATGTAAATCTTTATACAAAAATAATTTAAGTAAAGTAATGATTATATGTTGCTGATAAATGGCAAGCATAACGGGACATTTCATTACATAAACATTTTTTTTCAATTTGTCGTTATCAACGGGATATTATGTCTCAAGAGGCCTTTGACACTAAATACTCAGAGCTGCTGCTCCAGTTTAAATATTACTATAACTTTGATCATATTCTTATAAAGGATTTTAATATTTCCCCATATTTAAATTCTATTTTAAAATGGCTGTGTGTTTTTACTGTATTGTTGGTTTATCCTTTTTAATATTCTTAAAACGTTTCCAACAATGGTTATTGAAAAATTAAAATTTTAAAAGTTACATTAACTAGTTCTACAAAATTATTATTCTTTAATATATTTGTATGTACAGAACAATCATGCATACTTGTAAATTTAACTTGCGGTGGATCTTAATGCACATTGTTTTCATTAAAATAATAAGTCAGTACATTATAAATTGACAATATTATAACAATTATTCTCAAATCCAGCTCCATATGGAAAATTCTTTACATTCAACAAAAAACGTGTTATTGTTAAACAGTCTATATGTACTGCAATCATTACACTCAGAGGTAATAGTAACTGTGAACGCACGAAGGTAATTAAACTCATGAATTTAAAAGTCAAGAAAAAGAAGCTAGTAAAGTGATAAATTGTGTTTAATTGCCACATTTAGAAACTTACCTCTCTCAAGTCTCGATGAGGATATTTTCCAAGTGTTTTAATTAAAACTTTAACGCCGTAATCTGAATGTGACTTGTTCTTTTCACGGATATCCAACGGAAATACGATAACTTGCACTCGCACTGCAACCTTAGGCCGTACTTTATTTCATTGGAATGAGTTTATTTTTCTAAATCACAATACATTCGATATTTTTTTAATTTAAAACTTACAGTTTATTCTAACGCAGCACACTTGATAGTATATTTGTATAAATATAAAGTTAAGCTGTCTATCAAATATACTTCTGATTGAATCCCAACAGAAATTTGTGTGGGTGAGCTGATTGTCATTTTATCGTTATGAAATATTACTAATCATTTATAGCACAATATTTATTTTAACCAGAACTCGATGAAATCATCTTTCAGTTTTTTTTTTTGTTCTAACCTCCAGATTAAATATGGAATCAGTGTGGAACATGATTCTCCGAAAGACATTGCTCCAGTAGGAATTTAAGGCTAAGACCGTGTCCCGAGATTATGTCACAGCCAGTCATTACTCCAAAATGTAATCTTTTTAAACACTGCGGCGAAAGACCAGCTCCGCAAATGTGTGTAGGAGCAGCACATTTCGGGAGTAAAGCACCAACGCCTTACTGACACATCATTCAACATCCTACTTAAAGGTGCATTGTCCCTGAAGCGACTCTTGCGATAGTAGTTGAGCGATAGTAGCTCAGCGATAGTAGCTGAGCACTGGTTAGCGTTGTTTCAAATGGGACCATTGTCCTTGACGCGACTGCGACTGGAGCGGCTAGCGGCTGAACACAGCGACTGTAGCGGGTCTGCTCTGAGGGGAGTCAGAGTCGCAGTCGCTGAGCGATTTGTAGGTGTGGACGGGTTTTGGTCGTAATGTCTTCAAAGAATACAAAACTGCTTTTTACCCCTGAAGAAGATATGAGATATGTACATAATATTAAATCACTACTATTATAAATTACAAATATAAACAAAACTTTTTAAAATGCAACTTTTTAAACGCACTATAAAGTACAGAATATGTATTGAATAAATACTTGAAGATTTAAAGAAAAACGTGGGGCCCATACTAATTTTACAATTATCTTCACCTATTAAACTATTATCATAGATGAAGTCTATGCTATTATTATCCATTGCATGCGCGCCACGTTTTTTCTTTTAAATCTTACAAGTAATTTATTTTCTCCACATATTTATAAATTTTTTTTACTCTTTAGTGCGTTTAAAAACGTGGTATTTCTTAAAATTATTTTTATTTATAATTATTTTATACTTTTTAGTCTTTAATGTGTAAATATGTGAAATCTATTTTACATGGCCTGTTAATACATAACCAAACACTTATTATCTGTAATCATATGTTTTATCTTTACTTTGATCCGCTTATTTAATATTTAGAATCTCTCGGGAGCAGAACCTGTACCTCGAACTGCAATTCGAACTGTCAAATTTTAGTATTTACAGCTGACTTCAATTGATATATTTAGGCCTACATTCTTCCAAAATTTAAACATGAAAAATTTGGAAGCCCATGGGGCTTAGCCCAAGGGAAATATGAAAATTAAATGATATAATATTGCATTCTCATCCATTTGTGAGCTATTTTTAAAGTTTCAATTCTCTAGCTCGTTGGGAAGTAAGTTATTGATTGCAAAGTTTGTACCGGACAAGAAAGTGAGCTAATAAAAAGTTTTAAAATTAGCTGGTGTCATGGCACTTATACAGTAGCACCAATTCACTCGAAAGTCAGCAAACTAATATACAGAATCGCTCTAGAACAATCACTTCTGGGACAATGACATGGTTAGCTACTATCGCTAAGCTACTATCGCTGAGCTACTGTCGCTCAGCTACTATCGCAAGAGTCGCTTCAGGGACAATGCACCTTAATTGTTGCTGATGTTTACAGGCGGAGTTGGCAAGTGTTCACAGCCCGGACGAGGAGAGGCTCATAGTGTCCAAGATCAGAGCGTCCAGAGAGTACATCACCAATGCCAATTACTGGCTGGGGGCACAGCCCCCTATACTCTCTATATTGATTGTTGCTTATGTTCACAGGCGGAGTTGGCAAGTGTTCACAGCCCGGACGAGGAGAGGTTCATAGTTTCCAAGATCAGAGCGTCCAGAGAGTACATCACCAATGCCAATTTACTGGCTGGGGGCTCAGCCCCCTATACTCTCTATATTGATTGTTGCTTATGTTCACAGGCGGAGTTGGCAAGTGTTCACAGCCCGGACGAGGAGAGGTTCATAGTTTCCAAGATCAGAGCGTCCAGAGAGTACATCACCAATGCCAATTTACTGGCTGGGGGCTCAGCCCCCTATACTCTCTATATTGATTGTTGCTTATGTTCACAGGCAGAGTTGGCAAGTGTTCACAGCCCGGACGAGGAGAGGTTCATAGTTTCCAAGATCAGAGCGTCCAGAGAGTACATCACCAATGCAAATTACTGGCTGGGGGCACAGCCCCCTATACTCTCTATATTGATTGTTGCTTATGTTCACAGGCGGAGTTGGCAAGTGTTCACAGCCCGGACGAGGAGAGGTTCATAGTTTCCAAGATCAGAGCGTCCAGAGAGTACATCACCAATGCCAATTACTGGCTGGGGGCACAGCCCCCTATACTCTCTATATTGATTGTTGCTTATGTTCACAGGCGGAGTTGGCAAGTGTTCACAGCCCGGACGAGGAGAGGTTCATAGTTTCCAAGATCAGAGCGTCCAGAGAGTACATCACCAATGCCAATTACTGGCTGGGGGCACAGCCCCCTATACTCTCTATATTGATTGTTGCTTATGTTCACAGGCGGAGTTGGCAAGTGTTCACAGCCCGGACGAGGAGAGGTTCATAGTGTCCAAGATCAGAGCGTCCAGAGAGTACATCACCAATGCCAATTACTGGCTGGGGGCTCAGCCCCCTATACTTTCTATATTGATTGTTGCTTATTTCACAGGCGGAGTTGGCTAGTGTTCACAGCCCGGACGAGGAGAGGTTCATAGTGTCCAAGATCAGAGCGTCCAGAGAGTACAGCACCAATGCCATTTACTGGCTTGGAGCACAGCAAGATGCTTTAGACAACTGGTACTGGGTGGATTCCACTCCTATGACCTATACTGGTGAGTCGCCTAATTGAGATTCTGTATTTCATTAGAGTAAGGAATATTTTTGCAAACTGGTGGTTTACTTCATAATAGAATTTGCTCAGGAAACTGATCCAGCTTTTTAATTTAATGTCTTAATTGTATTGCAAAATATGACAAGTTTGATTTTTTTATCATTAGCTTTTTATTTGTCATTTCCGCAATTATTTTGATTCTTTACATTGGTACCTATCGCATTGTCATTCGCTTGAAAAGATTTTAATAATTTAGTGTATATACTTGTGTAATAGCCAACACTGATACTAGGCAAGTTTTCACGAATAACGCTGTACTGTTAATTTTGTTAATCGTTTCAAACACTAACTTAACTATTATACAGGTTAGTATTTGTAATTTTAAAACCACGCAAATAGAATTTCCTTTGAAACAATCAAAAACAGCCTAACCCAACTAGTGATTACAAAGCACAATAATACAGCTGTCCCAAGATAAATTACCGTGATGAACATAAGCGTCAGAAAGGCCCGTCTCGTTATTGCGGTTATTTACTGCTAGCGCACAATAGCTTGTCTTTTCAACGATCCGTTATTGTGCGGACGATAATTTATCACTTTGTGTTCTTCAATTAGTTGATTAATCAAAACATCGTAATTGTGATTGGCATACAATGAAAGCTATTGTAAATAATTGTTTCGAAATTATTTTTAATGCTTTTTTGTTTCATTAGATTCATTTAGGCTACTTGTTAATGTAAAACATCAATTGATTGTATTTTTGAAATGTAATTGATTATAGTTATTTTTATTTATGACCTAAATACAAAAGTTACTAAATAGGTTTGCCTATAGGACAGTTATTGTTACTGTATAATGTATGTTATTATTCATGATAAGATCAAGTTCCGGGACCACAGACAGTACTTTTTGTAAAGATCAGAGAAACAAAAAAATGGTTATTATATAATTATGTCATATTTTTTTTATAAAAAAGGCTATTCTCTAGGTAGTAATGACCATAACCCGTCAGAAAATATTATTTTTCAAAACTTCTCGATGTATTTTTCACTATCTTGGCTACTTACTCTTGTCTCTTTTCAGCCTGGCTGTCTTCTGACACCGGTGCAAAGGGCACTCTGAACTGCCTAAGTCTCCAGTGGCTGTCCTCCCCAGCACATATGTTACCCAGCAGCCTCTACTGGCAGCCTCAACTCTGTGCTAACGTTGGTGGCTACATCTGCAAGAAGGAGAGTCAAGGTAGGCTACATGTTTGAAGAGAAGTGATTCTTATTATTAAGAATTCATGAGGGCTGTATGTTCTATATGATACAAGAAAAGGAAAGACTTCCCAGAATGAAAATGGAGTACATTATCGAATGACGTTGAAAAGTGTGACATCACATTTGAAAGAAGGTAGGTCATGGGATTAATATTGTCACACCAAATGAAACTATTGAAATCTGTAGCCTAAAGACGAAAAGAAAAAGTACCCTAAGAGAAAAATAATAATATGATATGAAGAAATGGAGGGATTAAGAAGAAAATTAAAACTCTCTTCCAATGAGCCACTGACATTGTATCGATTGTATATTTCTTTGGATAACAAAGCTGCCTTATAACTAAATACTCTTAGTTTAGCTCCATTATAAAATGTTCTTTAAAAGATATTTTTTACGAGTATATTAATTTAAACTGACTCTTTTCAAATCAATACATTTAATATTCGAAATTAAGTATTTTTTTACTCGAAAATAATATACTTAAAAATATACGTTTATCTCATTTATCTTGGTTAAGTAAGATTGAAAATGTTCCTAATCTATATGTTTTCAATTTAACTATCCTCTTTCTCTAGTCACTAAATATATAACTGTCCAAAAGCAATTCCAGCAAACACGTTAAATATGTGAAATCCCAAAAGAAACTTTGTAGACGATTCGAAACACACATGAGTGTTGAAAAGTTCTGCCCCACAAAAGATCACCACAATGTTTGCAATGATAAAGTAACAACTCCAATAACACCATCAGGGAATAACTGGCCAAGTTTGGCTATGATGATGGCAAGCGGCTTACAGACATTAACGAGTCTCCGGCGTATGTTTCAATCTGTGTCGACTTATTGTAAAACTTCTCTCTCCAGATTAATCCTTCGTTCTCCTCCCTAACTCGATAAAAACCATTTAATGGATCCGTCCTCAAACTAAGCAGTTTAAGTTTGATATTGATGTTACAAATTGTATTTTGTTTTTGTCGGTGTTTATTAGTGTTGACAAGTTGTGTGTATATATAAATTTGAACTATTTTTTTTACTATTGTAAAAGGTTATACGGTACGGTATCCTTACAGATTTTTACCACACACATACAGTAGATGGTCTATAAACATGACAATATATCATACATTTTAGTGGTAAAGAAATTAAGCCATCAACCATCGGTTAAATTATAAGTTCAAATGCGATTCAACTTGGCAGTTCATATGTTCATAACAATATAGGGATTTGAAATGTTTTACTAAAATTATAAATCCTGTTATTTATATATAATTTCCTATTTTACGTTCGTAGAGTAGGTTGGCTGCTACGGTCTTCTTTCACTTTTCCCTTATCATCCAAAATTTTTAAGTCGCCGATTCCATTCAAACAAATACTGATAAATACATGTATCTCAATCGTAACAGGTATAGGTAAAGGCTTGAACCTGAACGGCACCGTGAACGCCACAGAAGGTCGGCTCACCTCCCCCAGGTTTCCTGCTCCATACCACCACAACTTGGACTACTGGGTGAAAGTCTCCGCCCCAGAGCTCACCCGGGTGGTCTTCCGCTTCTCCCGGTTGGACCTGGAGCCCCAGTCGGACTGCCTATACGACTACGTAGAGTTGGAGGACGTCAACAGCAGAAGCGATCCGCCCAGGAGACGCAGGTTCTGTGGGAGACATGCACCCGCAGCTCTAGAGAGGTTAGTACTATAACAACTCTCTACGCTCTAGGCTCTAATGGATGTAACTGTGTAAAACTTTAATCATGGCTTTGAGTGATTGGTGAAGACCCAGAGCTAGATGCATTGCATAACCTAATTTTTGACATGTACTAGCTGTTTCTTTCTTCCCAAGGACTTGGCAAATATTAGTTTATAGAGCTTAAACATCTCTAGTGTTTATAGAGTTAGATCTTAAATATGCCAATTAGAAATAGAAAGCTTTAATATTATAAGTGTTGGTTTTAGCGAATTTCCCTATAGGGAAGTAGCTATTGCCATAGGTGGCACGGTAAGACCTAGACCCGGGACCGATTTACTTTTTCATTTTGATGTCCCCAGAGGCCAAAAACACAATTCGTTCAAATTTGTACGTCCATGAACCGATAACTTGAGTAATTTTTGTCAGATTTTGATGAAATTTGGTTTAAAGGTGTAAAGCGGGATAAACTTGAATGAGTTTGCGAACCAGCATGATCGGACCATGGAAACGGGGCTTTACGGGGGGTTTGATGGGGTAAAAATTGGTTTTTCTCACTTTTGACCCTCAAAACACAAAATTTCCCTTTTTCTCTTTAGACCTTTTTAAAGAGCTTAAAAAACCAAATAATTTAGTATATAAAAGTATTTTTGTTCGGTTATTAGTAACGGAAAAAATTTTTAAAAAAAATGTAAATTTAAAATTCCCATGTTATTCTTGTGGAGAATATTGTCAAATGTTGTAGTTTGCTTGTTTATGGATATAATTTGATCAAACTTGGCAAATTTATTTATTTTGTACTAAGCTATCAATATTTTACTAAAAAAACACACTTTATTAGTTTTCTTGTAGGAGCAAACCTAGGTACTCGTTAAACATAATAATATTAAAATATATTTAATTGAAAATCAATTCAAACAAATGGAAATTCGCTTAGTCGGCAGGTTTGCTGCGGCAGGGGTATTTTTTTATCATTTGTTGTTTAATCATTTCATCGGAAATTTCATTCCTTTCAATAAACTCACTGAATTCGCAAACATTAGTTACTAACATGGGAGTGTTGCTAGCCTAGCGGTTAGCGTCTCGGACGTGTGTGCGGGAGGTACAAATTTGAATGCTGGCACGCCCAAAAAGTATATGGGTATAGACCACTTTCCCTAAAAGGGGACTTCCCTTTCTAATTCCTCTTGTGAAATGCAACTTTCATAGACAGCAAGAAAAGAAAGAAAGAAACTAGTTTTTCTATACAACTTCGAGCATCCCTCTTGAGTTACTTTCATAAACCTAAAGATCACATCCTGGTCACTCATTTAGGATAAAATTATTCTAGCAATATTCTAACATTTTTTTTACTTTGCTCCAGGATGAATTTTGTATCGGAAAGACACGAAGTGACAGTCCACTTCCACTCTGACTACTCCGTCTCAGGAAGTGGCTTCGCTCTAACTTGGCACAGTGTGGACGTTAGCGGATGTCCTCTGCACACCCTCACGGCCAAGGAAGGACTCCTCGTGTCACCTAATTACCCTCACTTCCTCTTAGATCATCTGGACTGTTCTACCACCATCCTGGCCCCGGGTAAGTTACTTTAGATATAATCTGATAAATATTATCTAGCCTATGTAAAGTATTTTATTAAATTATTTTATTTAATCCACCTGGTTCACCATAATCAACATATGTTAATATTTTGATGGTTCAAAACGTTATCCAGGTTTATTATTTTCCCTAGGCTTTGATTCACTATCATAAGGAATGAACCTGTTTATCTAAGTCAATACTCGATAGCCAGGACACTGTGCGCAGACCAGCTTTGGATGTCATTTACAGTTTGAATTAACAGTCAATCATTAAGATCATGTATAAAAATGCTGGTGGCATTACGTTTTTTTCTGCTAGTTTTATTTCCTGAACATCAGCAACGAGGTTTCCCACAGATTAAGATAATTTTACATATGGTACACACAAATAATCACCCTTATCTATCATTCTTACTTTACTTAAAACTTAGCTAAGCTGGTATATGTAAAAGGTATCACAGTAACAACAAATGTGACTTATTAATTTAAAGGGATTTAGCAAACAAACCATCACATGAAAATTTGTTACACTATGATTGAAAATTATTTTTTAAACAAGACTGCTAAATTACGAGTGGATACTGGCAGGTTGATGATTGGAGGGTTCCATGTTATTGGATGTTAACACAATGTCACTGGCCTATACAAATAAGTACAGATAAAACCTATACCTCGATCATGATTTTGATATTTTTGTTTTAATATGTCATATAAAGTGTGACTAGTCAAATGGTTTTAGCACGGCATTTTTTCCTGCATGACAGGACTCAAACACCACCATCCACGTGTGACACATGGGCAGAGAACCCACCTATTTGATGAGCCCACCTTAAATGCATGTCTACTTGTAGAAAACAAAAACGATAGGTCTACCAGGAGAACTATCTCTGGGCTGAATATTTAGTTCCTAATTGTAAACATTATCATGTTTTAGGGATATAATTAGTGAGCAAAACGGAAATGTTTGGAACTAAATAAAATCTCAATTTAACTCATGATTCAATTTCTGGTTTCAACCATTCATAATCTACCGGAGCGTAACTACCACTAAGCTTCATAAATTAATTTTGACCCTACCGAATCGTTACTGTGTGATTATCGAAAGATTACTTAATCAGTTCATTCAGACGTTAAAATAGCATTGCCTAACATTTTGTGGAAAATATGCATGCATCATAAAACCCAGTTTGATATCCACAACAACTAAAATCGAGTTTCCCATTTTATATCATAGCTTTATTTTTACCTTATTATTTTCTGTATTTATTCCTTCATTCAACTTTTAGTTTTTTACATAATATTTTTTGTGGTTTTTACCTTTTAAAAAGGGTTACTTTATTTTTGTAATAGCTGTGAGCTCGTTCTACGGACGGGGATCTTGTGGTCAGCTAAACCCTCATTTAATTCAGAACAGCAGACATTATAGGTATAAGTTTCAAATGTGATACGTAATGGTTTTTGAGAAGACTGTGTACCAAAAGGTCTAAAATTGTATTCTTTTTTATAATGGAGTGAATTATACACAGGTTTCATGCGAACTTTAAATGCACAAATGATGGTCTTCTCAAAAATATTCCACCATTTTTTTTTTATTTTCATAACATTAACATGTATTTATAAATCATGCGGAGAACATTTACGAGAAAACATTTATTCACGCATATTGGTTATTTTGCATTTATTTATCTTAGTTTAAAATCACACAATCCCTTAAAACAAAAATCCTTTGCGGTGAGAAAGAAATATTAAATTTAGTTCGAGCGCAACAATTGTAGAATGCCAATTATCACGATGTTGTAAATATTTATGCATCGGTACTTAACAGTAATTATCGGTACAGAATTACTGTTCTTTGAATAAGAACTGGTACCGTGAACCGACGTCGAAATACAGTCAGGCCGTAGTTCGGTACCAAAAGGGGATTGCCTTCTGGTGACATGGTACAAGACATGGTGACGGTGATTGGTGGTGAGTCTAAACCGAAGACCGAAATATTAGAAAAATTATTTCAGAAGCACCCACCCGTGAACAACTGCTGCAATCAACATCTGTTATGGAAGATCTTCAACCGAGTGTTTAGTTCAACAAATATTTTAATTTTCCTAACTTCTATTCACAGCCGGGCGAAGGGTTTGGCTGCAAATCACAGACTTCGAAGTAGAAGCTCCAGAGTCCAGTGTAGAAGTGAGTCTAGGAGGTGGCTTCCCACTGATCCAACCCTTTAGTTCTTCCTCCTTCCATCCCTCCCATATACATCCATCCCGACTCCTCTCCGACGGGGTGTTCGTCTCAGAGGGCGAAAGACTGCAACTGAAGCTCAAGACTGGAGATGCTCCAAAAGGAAGAGGCTTTAAGGCTGTCTACAAATCAGGTAAAGACTATTTTCATAATGATACATTATACTACAAATGTTTATAACTTAGATATAAGAGCTTAAAAGACAGTAAGTAGTTACTTGATAGTCCTTTGGCCTTAGTAGCTTTTTCATGCTGCTACCTTACTTAGCTTGCTATAGTTTTTTGAAAGCATACTGATTCTTTTTTATTATTAATAATAATTTTTAAAGAGACCTGGGTCCCTTAGAAACAGATTCCATATTTGTTCTGTGGTCTCTTATGCAAAGGCACCTAGGTAAAACATTATTTGTTTGGGAAGAATGTTTTTGAGATTTGACTTATTTACTATGTAAAATATTTGGAATATGAGAAAGGAGTATGTAGCCAACTTACTTTTTTAAAACAGAAAGAAGTATTCTGAGTTTTAGGTAGATCATGCACACATTATCACAACTTCCTCCTCAACTGTTTTACTAGAGTGTAGTAAATTTGCTCAACAATATTTCTTTTTTTGCTACTGCTTAGGAAAAGCGGCTTATTCTCCATTAAAGCATGGTTTCTTCATTAAATAGCTGTAACTTTCCAGTCATAGTTCTGTCAACTTTTGAAGGATCATAAAAGTCTTCTAATGATACAAACATTCCAAATGTATAACTACATGTTATGTTTATGCCTGTCTCCAGTTCACACAGTGGTCGACCATCGTATCATAGTCTTGACCAACGTCTCCTCTGGATACCTTCTCCACGTCAACTATCCTCACCACCCACCCTCAGGCATTGACTTCACCGACCGCCTCGTAGCTCCACTAGGAAAGTCCATCCACCTGCAGTTCTACCGCGCAGAACCTACTTTTTGTAAGTAACCTTCAACGTTGTGTAGATACAGTTAACATGGAACAAGAACTTGCTATGGTTAGAAGGCCTTTTTCACGAATGCATGGATTTGTTAAGTATTTAGATATCATGGAGATATTTTAAGTTTTATTTCTTTAGTAAAATTATCTTATCTTGTAGCTTTGTATCCAATTGATTCTTTGAAACTCTTAAGAACGTTCCAATCACTTATATTCATAATTCCTCAAACTATACATGACATTAATTTGTGTTTTATCCATGATAGCAAGCTAAATTCACGGTCAATCCTTCGATTAAAGTTCATTTTTGTTTATTCTAGTTGTATGTACTCGTAATTTGATACATCATAATTTTTAAAGTTTGTTTTTCTGCTGGCCAGTGTTTTCTGTTGGTTTTAACTTTGGGATTTCCTAGGACTGGTTGGGTAATGTTGTGTATCAGCTGCTTCCTCACCTGAGCAATACATGTATTCCAGATTCCAAACTTGGTGAAAATGTTGTATATAATAGCAATTTGAAAGGTTTGCCAAAAATCTTACACTTTATATTTATATTTTATATATACACTGCTTAAATATGTCCCAAATATATCATTAAAGATTGATCTGTAACCTATATAAAAATCCAATGTTTATTTTTCATCAAACACAGCTTAGTTGTGACCCCTCCGTGTTGTTGCAGTAGAGGATGGTGAAGGTAGGGGAGTCTGCCCTGAAGGACGTGGAGTGATAGAGGTACGTGACAACTACGCCGACAGCAACGGCACCTGGTGGCGACTCTGTGAGACAGAGAGAGACGTGCCGCCGCTGGCAATTACGTCTTACCTCAACACTCTGCATGTCCGTCAGCTTAACAACGACATGAGAGCAGCAGGAGTCAGACTCAACGTCAGCGTGACCCTCAGGAACGGTGAGGACTCTTAGTTACGTTTTCTTTTTACTAAAGACTTAGGCAATTTACTTGAAATTGCAACGCACAAGGACATCTATATCTCTATATCTTTTACATCTAGATACCTTATTGTAAACCCTCTCGCAGACACCCATTGCTCGCCAAAGTTCTAGCTTGGGCCTTCGAATATAAAATGGACCCTGAGATTTACTGAAGATTTGTTCCCTGGTCTTCCCCTGATCACGTACAAAATATGTGGATGGTTATTTCAGAGCCAAAAACATGTTGTTTTATATAGTTTTATTTATTCCAGATGTCAACTACAAGGCTAAGCTACTGCAAGGTTCAGCTGAAAGTTCTGTCGAATCATGCCATCCCAACCCATGTCTCAACGGGGGGAAATGTGTCAGTAGTAGTAGCAAGAAGTCATGTCAGTGCGTTGGATATTTCACAGGTAATTAATTACCTTCTAAACACAATGTTTAATTTAATTTTAAAATGTAAATTAGCTTTGTTCTTTGAACCTAGTAGATTTTAATGGTTAGCTGAAACACATTTTTAACAAACAAAATATTTTTAAGCTAATATTTTTACTATTTATTACTGTAAAGACTGTATAACTTTAAAAAAATATTTTTAAATATTCATTTTAAAATAGTCGCACCTAGGTGGCGTCCCCATCTCAATGATTGATAATTGATTGTGATCTTGAACATTTCCAACATGTCGTTAAATTCAAAGCGATGAATATTTAAAATTGTTTGTATAATTTGTAGAAATATATTTTAGCTGTAAAATCTAGCACCTATTAAAATTAATAAGTCTAAAGAATTACATCTAATTTTTTTACTCCACGTACTCGTGATAGCAACAGTTTTTTCCTCCTTAAAAAATATAATTTTATAATAAAAATTTGTATTTTTAACAAATCCTAATACCACATTGAGTAATCTTCCAATCAATTTGACTAGAGAGGATGTTTTAAATAAAAACCGACGTTATATCTAATATAAATGCTTTATATTTCTATTTTTTCTATCTAGGAATGTTCTGTGCACTGACACTATGCGAGCTAGACCCCTGCTTGTTTGGCCGCTGTGAGCTGACGGCTTCTGGGTTTCGCTGTCATTGCAACAGAGGGTATGAGGGGGAATCATGTGACACAAAGCTTCACCCTTGTGCGCACAACCCTTGCGAGGGCCGAGGCGACTGCATAGAAAGACCTGACTCTTCCTTCCACTGTCGCTGTCACGCCTGGTGGGAAGGTGAGTAGCTCAAAACCATATCCTCAAACAATACGGTAATATGATAATTTGGGATCATTTGTTCAACCACACTGTACATAACAGTTTGATATGTAGCTGTTTTCCACATCTTGTTAAACATTGTAAACATCCTTTAAACTGCTTCTAGGAGCTCGGTGCGAGCGACGAATGCTACACATACCCTACAAACCGCTGTCTCAGCGTATGTTGCAAGAACCTTTCTGGCTGGGACTTATCACCGTCACCGTAGTTCTTGGTGTTCTCGGTCTGTTCTGGTGTGCCAAGAGACACTTCCCCGAGAAACTGGAGAAGCTTTTAGCTGAGGAAGCAGACCGCAATCGTCACTGTGAGCTTTCTTATTCAAAACTCTTTAAAATTACTGGAGACAACACATCATATTACTTTCAGTGGTTGATTTTTGAATGGTTTTAATGCATACAGCCATTTTGTTATTAGAATTCAGTGAAAGAAATTAATTTAGTTTAAAAGCGAATCTATAATTTCATTTTATATAAGCTTTGTTTACGTAGAGTATAGAAAAGTATCTGGTTGTGATGTATTTAAAACGAAATTTACCTATATTGATTTGCAGTATGTTATAATCTAGATACCAGCGGTTTCAAAACCCAACTCAACCTCAAAATCCATTCACCCCCAAAAAATAATAAATTTCTTCTTAAATGTAAAAGTGATCTAATTTAAAAGGGAGACACGAAAAAACACAAATATCACTAACAATACTTAAATTTACTCTTGAATGAAAAAACAACCAACTCGATGTATATTTTTAATTGTAAAGATTTAAAATGTAAATGTATTTTTTATCCGTACCTACATGGTGTGTGCAGGTCATATGTCCAGCAGAACCGCCTCAGTACGAGATCAGCTTTCGTCATCGCTCTACTCCGCCAACCCTGTGCCAGTCCCTGTCCAGGCGCCAAGTGTTGGCGCCCAACCAAGGGCCAGCCTCTTCGGGCGACTCGGTATCCGTAAACCCTCTCTGCTGAGCCTCACCAGCCCCTTGGTGCCTCCCGCCCACGCTCCTACAGCCAGAACCTTTAGTTTGGACGATTTGCTTAAACCACCTTCGAGAAGTAAGAAACTTCCAGTCCCGGTCTTCACCTCACGGGACTTCGGCCTTGTAAATGTTCACGACCCTTCACTATCTCTCAGCCTTGTACACAGACTCCTCTTTTGGTTCTTCTCTTCTCGACTTCGTATAGAGAAATGGTTTTTCTGTCAATCATTTGCCAATCTTCTCTCTTACGTTAACTAATATTGTAAATACACATAGCAAGTGTATGCGATCATGCATTTCAAACAATTATTTACACCAACACTTGGATAGTTGTTTAATAAAGGAAACCCAATGATCAACAACACCAAATTAGCTGTTGAAAAAAGTCATTTTCTTGCACTAACTTCACTCCATTTACACAGATATGAAATTGGTTTGGAATAAAAAAGTTCAATGAAGAATAATAGCTTATCCTCAAACTGCAATGTTATATTTCCAAAGTATATAAAAAATACTATTTTCAAATCAATTAAATGGTACCCGGTAGTATAATATGTTTTCCATTAGCAAACCTTCTTAAAATAGTATCTGTTTCTATAGATGATGTTCACACAGATCATAGCAAGCTTCCTTAAAAGTTGATAAATGTACTCAATGTGTAATCATATGCAATGCATACACATAATGCATATCATAATCATCAAATTAATTAATCAAACATTTTAATAGCATTTTTAACAGAATAATAGTGTGTGTTGAGTAAGGCAAAATTACACATAGAAATATAGCTGATTATTTATTAAATTAATCTGATCATATTAAATTTCTTTTAAACTTATCAAAGGTTTAAGGCACCTTTAAAAGGCACCATTTATAAGCTTCTTGGCATTTGTTGAAAAAATACACTTTCTGATTCTATGTCTATGAAAGACTATTAACACTTAACGGGTATGAAAATGTGACAAGCTTATATGTAGAGCAGCTCGGACTAGATGGTTTGTAACAGGTTTTGATAGTAAAATATTGATTATCACTTCGGTATAGAAGCAGTTAAAATCCTCGAAAAGGGACTTTCTTCCTTCTTCTTTCTCTTGCTGAACTCTGCTCTCCCTTCACCGCTTGCCTGCCTGACTTTCAAGCTGCTTATTTTTAAGACTTCTTTTTAGATCTGTGAAAGGTTATAGATCTTGATGATGCACCGTTCAGTCACGGAATGAAGCATGAATATTCTCTGCACATGTACAATTGCACTTTCAGGGAATTTGAATTTTATGCATTGTGTTTTTTTTTTATTGTTGGGTTACTTGAGTCATGGTATAAAGTTAGTTGGTACGTGGTACTCCTTCATTGATGATCTTTTATAAGAATAGGTTCTGGCCACAAAAACTGATTTCCAATATCTTAAAATACTAAGAAAGCATAAACTTTTATATGTTTTATCTAATAATATTATATAAAAAAAGATATAGATCAACATCGACATTTTACAAATTTCAGAAAGGTTGTACACCTAATTTAAAAAGTCAGTTTTTGTTGCAAAAATGACCACCCTTCTTATATTAATTATTGATTTTGGCTATGTAAGATAATTTTATAAGTTGTTTCCATTTTAATATTGCCTTTCTACAATATTGAGAGCTAAGTTTGAAACTGTTTACTTTGGTATCACAATATGCATACTCGCATGGATATGTTCACTATTGCTTGCGTACTTTCCAATAGTATGCATTAGAAATTAAAAGTTATTATAGCTAGTGGTAATTTTTGGCTTGGTATTTTATCAAATGAATAGTATTACTTTCACTCGTGTGTGAGTCAACATTATTTGATTGGTTTTGGAATGAAATGAGGGATTTTCCACATGTTTTCATCTTAAATCTTGGATTAATGTATTCGAATACTGTACATACAAACTTTAAACATACCAATTTTATTTTATAGTTACATTATAGTTTTATATTTGATAAATACCATACTTGATTAGCATTAAGCTGAGTATCTTGAGAGATAATGAAGCCATATGCAATGCATTTATAAATCAAATCATATATTAAAACTAAAAAAAAAACCAAGCTATACAGAGATAAGTGAAATACCTTACAATAACATTATCCTATTCAAATAAAATAAGGTTTAAACATAAATCTTTTATAGCCAATTAAAGAGCATAGCAAACAGTGTAGTAAAATATGCTGTATATCTATAGGTTACACAGTAACACAGTTGCAAGTTCGACCAACACTCATCATGTATGCATTTTTCTTAAATTCCACTTAATATTCTACTTTAAATATTTCTCACGATATAACAACTTTCGATTTGATTACAGGATCCCCTTCACCACGGAAGAAGAGGGTCAACTCGACGCCAACCAAGAAGAACGTGGCGGCAGTGGAGAAGAAGATGATCCTTCAACACCTAGTGGCGCCTGCAGTTCGAAGACAAAGCTCTGCGGAGAGTGTGCTGATGACTGGGTCGTCGTTGGAGGTCGAGAGAGCAGACTATATCAGTCAGGAGACTTCGTTCACCATCGATGCCGCCGCTGCCGCCCAAGCTGCTGCCGCTGCTGGTGAGTTCTTCAGAAATATCGATGTTGCTAAAAGATGTTTATGAAACTGTCTGTAGTATGTAACTTCTAAGCCCAAACACAGTAGGAGGCAATTTTTTATACTACGTATAGTCTCACGATGGTTGAAGTACATCTCTTAAACCTCAAAGTAAATTGTTTAAACTGATAAATTATTGAGTTAAAAAGTTACATTTCACACATTATATACTTAAGCCGGAGCACTTGAACGTATGCATAACACGTAAATGTATTGATTATCTAAACTTTTGTAGCAGCTACTCTGAAGTTTTTTTTTCAATATCTATAAATATGTTATACATGAATTCAATTTTTAAATTTTCTAATCAAAGTCGATTTTACCACCTTCTAAATTAACAAGTTAAAAATAAACAATCGGTAATTAATGTTTTTTACTAAATATAAAGTTGAATATTAAGTTTTTATTTTGTATGTATCTTAAAAATGAAGCAACGTACTTTAAATCTATCCATAATTAAATAGTTTGACTTACAATAATATCAATGGATGTATGCAAATTTGGCCATAATCTTGGAATTGCGTGTATCTAAATCTGATTCTCAGCATTAATGACAACCTATAGTAATGACATATTTTCCTTATGGTTCAGCTCGTTCCCAAGAACTGAAGCAAGAGAAGAAGGTAACATTTGCTCGTCTTCTGGACAAAGTGAGCTCCGAAATGAGTTCTGGATCAGAGCTTGAAATATCAACGGCGAACATCCGGGTTCAGCCACCCAGCCCACCTAAGGAGCTCAAGTCACCCAACAGCACAAGCAGTAACCAGGGTAGCGATTCTCTCTCGAGCTCCGACCTGGCACTGGCAGTGCACTCCGGTAAGTCACTGGGAACCTTATTCCTAAATAAGTTTGAAAATCCTCGTGATATTCAGAAATGTATAAAACTCATATAAATAATCTAGTTATTAGGTGTTAAATAGTCAACACCCAACTTTCTTTGACGCCAAGAGCATATATGGCTCATCAATGTTTGAATTATATTACGTTAGGGACTTCTTTTTAGGTCAGCTTATACAACTAGAGTTCACTTGTATATCAAACATTTTTGAGATACAACATAAACTAAATACAGATAATTGATACTTTTATTTTAAGGATTTAAGGAGGTGATATCTATATAGTATCACATGGTTGTCATATTATTTCCTCCAAACTACTTTAAAATGTATTTATAATTGTTTGTAGTTAATGGTGGTGAATTAAAACAAAGTATAAACTGTAATTTACCTCCATTGATAAAATAATTCCAGTAACTGCCCCAAATAATGATTGGTGATTGCTCAACAATATTTATGGTTACTGTTTTACTGCTCTGATTAAAAATTTTCATTCGGGTTTCTCTTTTTTGGGGCTATATATATACAATATATACATACAATATGCTAATAAGATAAGATTGTATGTTGCGTGATATTGAACATACTGTATATATATACATTTTGCTTTCACGCCCATGTCGCTTCTGCAATTATGAGAAAACTTTAGCTTTATGCATGTATAGCCTCAAATAACATGGTATTTCAGGAGACTTTACATAAAAAATATTTAACAAATAAGTTTTCGCTCTAGTTGTTCTGTGAACGATTCGACGACTGTAGAACACATGCACTTTGCAAAGTAGTTGATAAAGAGATGTTATAGATATAGTGGTAGTTTTCTTAGCAATGCCTGGAATTCTACAGTTTATCCCAAGCGGGGAGTTCAACGCTACTAGAGATGTGGAGGAGTTAGATTTGGAGTTTTCAACTCCTCTGACAATCGGAGATAACTCACAAAACTCATTGGCAGTGAGTGGGAGTGTCTGCATCGTTCTTGATCTATTTATTTCTTTGGAATTTCGAAGGGCGATTTGAATATGTTTTTGTAAAGAGTAGGATCATTTATTCGAAACTACCAACCCAAGCACACATTGTCTGCTTCTTAACATTTATCTATGTAAACTATTAAATTCATTATAAGAACGTAATTTTTAGGAGACAATCCTTGTAAGATATATAATAAAATCTACCCGTATTCTAATCCAAAAACCATGTTGAATCGCCCTTCCACTGCTTTGCATTGCGCTTCGACTTGCTTGTATTTTGATCGTGTAGAGGGATTGAGTGGCACATTTCGTCATGCAGTAAAATTACTAGTGTAATTTTCTTACAGCTGATTTAAGTACTAGTTTAGCTTAACTAAAGCACAGAAGTTAAATATTCTTCTATAAAGATCTGTTGCTAGATATTGCTGAACAAAATCCTTGAAATGATAACCGTATTGGTTTTTTCTTTGATTAATTTAGACAACAAATATGAGTTGGTAAAAGGCCAAATTTTGTCCAAGATATTACGATAACGATTTTAGGTGGCAATCATCCCTTGATTATTAATTTTTAAGTCAAGAGTTACCGGTATGTATGAAAAGTATTATTAATACAATCCACATATTATAAAGAAAATAATTTGGTAAATCTGTTGCTGGATTTTGTATTTTTATGTTTTGTGAATATTTAACATATATGAAACATTTACAAGCAATAGATGCTAAATAAGTATTCATAATCATTGAATTGAGTTTTTGTAGAAGAATAGCTTAATAATAATTTTTGAACTATTTCATGAAAATCCTAAAAAATTTCAAATTTAACATAGCTTTTTGCATATATCTATGAGTTCTACGTTATTTTATGCATTGGCAAGATATTTGCTTTTAATATTTTTTTATTTTTACTCCAAATTTACATTTGATTTTCAGCACAGTCAATTTTTCAAGCACTACATCAAGAGTCGTTAATGATTAGTTTATACTTCTTCCAATGTAGAACGTACTGAATCCTTATGGTACTTAAAAGTAGTTAAATTATAATAGTAAACAATATTTACTGAAATATTATATTTTAATATACCGGTAATCTAGTATGTTTTTCTTCTTTGTAGTAAGCTAGAGGAGCTATAATAATATTATCTCAATTATTGTAGTTGATTGGTACAATCTTACTTCTTTTATCTTCATTTGCCTAAATAAGAAATTGTCCATAAAAAGTATTGTCATTTTTGGAATTGAATTACCTAGTTTAAAATACGACAACTGTGCTGGTTAATTGTTCAAATGTATCACAACTTTTGGGAAATAAAATCAGCTCTTTGCTGAACAAACAAAATAAAGTTACAATAGAATTATATTTTTAATACATAATATCGCAATATATGCATACGTTAAAAATGGCTTTTTAAAGTCACCAAACTAAATGGCTTTAAAATAGCAATTTTTCCAGAGGAGGAACTCCAACTCCCCCCCCCCCCTCCGCCACCCACCCCCATCCTGGGTGTGGAACACCACCGTCAGCCCCTTCTCGTCAAGGTCCTACAACCACCACCGGTTAAAACCAAAAATACAATCCTTTTTTAGATGTCTCTCTTATAGTTGGTAAACTCATGACAATTGTTTGGATATGAAGACTGAAACAATTATAATGTTAAAGGTGAAGCGGCGAGACGACCTGAGAAGTTGTTGCTTGGTCAAAAGAAGGCGAATTCGGCAGACTCCATCCTTGCTATGTTCCGCAACTTCTCCTCAGTGGGTGGCAGTGGTGGAGTAGGGGTGACTGTAGCCTCTCCCTCTACCACACCTACTGCTTCCACCCCTCAGGACGATGTGGCGGGGTCTGACGACTCGTCTACCCACACTCCGGTGTCCAGCTCTAGCGGCCCTCCCGACTCTCCTCCGATGTTCACAAGAAAAAATACAATACAGGTGCGTTATAGCGTCTTGACAGACATAGTCGTAAGATATGTACTTAGCTTTTTGCATTTGCTGGCATCTAGATTCCAAAATAGATATTGTGAAATTGGGTTTCTCACTGAGCCATCCTTCAAATTCTAGTCTTGTGGAACAATAAAAATAAGAATATGTTTATTATCTTTCAGGCTACATAAGCATTGACAAAGTCAAATGTACAGCAGAAATGCCAAGTCTCTATACTAATTGGGTCTAAGGGTAATATCACATACAAGTCATAGGAACTATACAAGAATCAAAAATTATACATAACAGATTTCAAACATTAAAATTCTATCTGTTTTCAAAAGAAAAACCCACTAAGTGAATAGAAAGGATTTTTAGATAACCACTCATAAATTTTTTTTTAACTTTTACAGTATATTTTTTACTATAAGATTAATTACTTTGTTATATACCTTAAAGGATAGTACTACATGACTAGACAGTGATTTGCTGAGCCTATTGTACTCAATTGCTGCTTTATCCCTATTGCGAGTGTTGTAACTGTGCATATCCCCAGTGAGTGTAACAAGATCCTGATTTTTTAGTATATAAGATACGAGACAAAAAATGTAAAGGTTGATTATGGTTTGTATTTCCAACTGAATAAATAAAGGCCTGCAATGAGCACTTACATCTGACATCTGACTTGGTCATAACTCTAATTGCCTTCTTCTGAAGGATAAGAATGTCATCAATTTTAGCACAGTTGCCAAACAAAATCAGACCATATCTAAGAATAGATTGAAAATAGGCAAAGTAAGCTGTTTTTAGATAATGACTTGGAACGCACATTGTCAAAGAACGCACATTGAAAAGTATCTGTTTAAGTCAAAGATCCTCAACAAGTTAGGGTTTTCCTGTATCTAATTTACAAATTAGAGTTGCTTTATCTAATTTACAAATTAAAGCTGCACAAATTTCTATAAGCATTGTTATTTGTCCACTAGGTGTCGGTGCTGGATCCTCTAAGTGCACAGAAGAGCGGCAATCTTCTCTACCCTCCAAGTATATTGCTGGAGGTTCCCAACAAGTGTTTGTCGCCCATCAAAGAGATGCCTACGCCCTCCCCTTCACCAGCTCTTACACCTGTAATGCCTAGACATTCTCAGCCTACTTCTCTCTATCGAACAAAGGTGACTATTACCTCAGGTATTATTACTCTGAGCTAATACCAAGAGTTACGGGTGAAATCAAACTTTTCATTTTTAGCGAATTTCCCTATAGGGAAGTAGCTATTACCGTAGGTGGCACGGTAAGACATAGACCTGAGACCAATTTACTTTTTCATTTTGATGTCCCCAGAGGCCAAAAACACCATTCGTTCAAATTTTTATATATGTATATATATATATATAGACATATATATATATATATATAGACATATATATATATATATATATATATATACGTCCGTGAACGCGATAACTTGAGTAATTTTTGTCCGATTTTGATGAAATTTGGTTTAAAGGTGTAAAGCGGGATAAACTTGAATGAGTTCGCGAACCAGCATGATCGGACCATGGGAACGGGGCTTTACGGGGGGTTTTATGGGGTAAAAATTGGTTTTTCACACTTTTGACCCTCAAAACACAAAATTTCCCAATTTCTCTTTAGACCTTTTTAAAGAGCTTAAAAAAACAATTAATTTAGTATATAAAAGTATTTTTGTTCGGTTAATAGTAACGGAGAAAATTAAAAAAATTGTAAATTTAAAATTCCCATGTTATTCTTATGGAGAATATTGTCAAATGTTGTAGTTTGCTTGTTTATGGAAATATTTTGTATTTTGATCAAATTTATTTATTTTGTACTAAGCTATCAATATTTTACAAAAAAAAACACACTTTATTAGTTTCCTTGTAGCAGCAAACCTAGGTACTCGTTAAACCTAATGTTATTAAATAAAATATATTTAATTGAAAATCAATTAAGACAAATGGAAATTCGCTTAGTCGGCAGGTTTGCTGCGGCGGGGGTATTTATGTTTGATATTAGCTATAGGGAAGTGATAGAAACTATATTAAGGGGAAAACGTATCCAATAAAATACTTTTTTGCAGCCTGATCGTCTTGAGATCCCAGTCAGTGCAGCTACAAACTCTCTGACAATTCCTACCCTGACTGTCCAACAACCGTCACCCACACGACCCTCTCCACCAGCGATGCTTTTCTCCAGTGGTTTCCCTGGCTCTCCACCCCCGCACAAAGAGCCACCATTTCTTCAAAGGGGAAGTAAATTGCTCAAAGACCTAGATAAGCCGACTTCTCTAGAGCTTCCTGTTCCTCCTCCTCTCATAACAGTGACTTGCAGCATGAGTGAAGTGGAATCTGACGGAGAATCCCCAGCGGCGAAGACTGGAGTGCCCGGGTCCAGTGGAATGTGTTATCTGAGCCCGTTCTCCATGTGTACGCGGGCAGACAGGACTACTTCCGAGTCGAACCTCAGCTCATCTGGGTACAGCTCAATGGCAAGTCCAGGACCTTCCCGGTGCGGCTCAAATAACCCTCTCTGTCCCGATGTAGACGACCACTCGAAAAAGCCGTCCCCTTTGCTACGCACAACAAGAAAGGACGAAACGAAAAAGACTCACGCCGGGTGCCTTAGAGGACGTTCAGACTCGGAAACGTTGTCGGACGATCCTCAAATTGAATCTAATGATGAGGGATTTGGAACGGACCATATCGATGAGAAAATTGAAGACGGTGAACTGAAAAGTGCGAAAGAGCTTGAGGTGTTTATCGGTACGGAGTTAGTTGAGACGGGGAAGAAGCTCATTGGGCTGGTGTCTCCCTCGTCCAAACTCAAACATTGCAGCAGTTTTGAGTCGAATTTAGAGCAAACTGGAAGATCAAGGAAGGTGAAGCCTTGTGTCAGCGTCGAGGCAGGCCTGGACTGCTATCGCCTGGCTCCCCCACCCAATGATGTTTTCAAGGTAAACCCATTGCCATTATTTTTCTTTGTTTCGATTTTAAAGCTAAGGTAATGTTTAATCTTATGTTTCCAAAACTTTTGTTCAATTAAACCGACAAAAAGTTTTGAGCCAAATTAATTATTCTGATTGCAGTTGCAGGCAATATTGCAGAGTACCCTTGGGTCTGTTGTACTAGTGGATTTTGTGGTTCTGTTTGCATCTGAATCTTCAAATGAGTCATAAACTTTCTATTGAATTCATAATATTCAATAAGTTCCTACCATCAAAAATGTTTGTAGCTTATTCAAAGACCGTCACATACCACTGTTAGGGGATTTGTTGTCAATATCCCCTACTAATAGGTTAGCTCTTCCTTTCCTAGGTCACCCTGCAGCTGCCCAGTATAGTGGTGGATGCTGACGAATGTGGTACTGCAGCACCGTCCACACATTGCAGTCCAGTCAGCTCACGTAGTGAGAGCCCTCTCAGTGACAAGACGGCTGGACTAGGCCGCTTCTCACCCATGTTCTACGGCAAGCTAACCGACAGCGACGGTGAGTCTGGCTGTGAGACTTGCTGATAAATGTTTTATTTTTATGCAATAAAATATAAACGGAGATAGAAAATAACACATAAACAAAAAGAGGTGTAGAAAAACAAATGTTTTTCCTCCGCAGTGCTGTTGTGGTTTACTGTTTTGTTACTCAACAGAGCCATATTTTTCTTGAAACAATTAGTGTTTTCTTGCTTAGTCTTTTCTTGGCTCCCAATATTTTCCCGTGAATGAACTTATTTTTTGGATCTATCTACTACTAAAAACTATTGAATGGCATTTCGCATGCTTTGAAAAATGTCATGCTAAACAAAAATCTGGTAATAAATACCATCAAACTCTAAGCAAATAACATAACAGTAGCAACTATAAGAGATAGTCTGGAGGAATGCCTCTAGATTTTAAACGATTTAAGACATTTAAAGTGTAAAAGCCATTCAACAGGGTTTCTTTTATACTCCTACTACAAGTACGTTATTCCAGTTTCCCTGTATGTAGTAATTATGTATCACCAATTTAGCATTTAAGGTGGAAAATGACTTTAAAAAGTCATCTAAAATTCAACTTTAATTCTTATTCATATGTTTACTGTAGGTTTGTACGACTGTGCCAGCTCTGACTGCTGCAAGATGGCTGCCAACAGAAAGTCTTCGGGGAGAAGAAAGGAAAGAAAGAGAAGTAAATCTCCTGCGAAGGTAAAAGATAAGGATATGAAGGATCTGGTTGCTCCTACGCAGATTCTATTAGACGTACCTGGGAAGGCAGATCCTTTCTGTCGTCATAACCTGAGGACCAAGCCAAGTCCGAAACGAAGAGTCAGAACACATTCACAGGTCGCTTCTTCAACATCTTCCTCTTCTACGGAGAGCATCAATTCTGTTGGGTCAGTATTTCCTTCACAATTAACTACAGAAAAAGAGTTCAAAGAGTCATGCATTGTTGTGCACTATGCATGGAACACACAAGTAAACCGGTTACCATTGAAAGTGTCATTTGGTTAATTATTTCCTAATCAATACTCAAGAGCTGTGACGAGTAAAGTATTTCTTAACTGTAGACAGTTTGTAATCAGTTTATATAGCCACATATCTGTGACAAACAATATTTCATCTTTCATTTTCAAATCACTCTGTAAAAACAAGACTTAATAGATCCAATTATGCCCTAATGAAAGTGTATAAGCGACACCGAACTGGCTTTCGAAATAAATTATATTAATCTAAGACTTCCACATACCTACATATTTTTCCGCCTTCCATATTGTATGAGATAGGTATCAATGTTTCATTAAAATTTAGAAAGCCAAATCATTGAAAATCAATAATACGTGTGATTTTTTTCTCTCAGAGATCTGTGCCAGACCCGGATGTCACCTGAGAGTGGGCGTAGTCCAGACCGGGGCTGGGCCAAACTGGACTCTCCCACCAAGGTCCCCTCCAACGAGGCGTCCGGAGAGGAAACTGGAGAAGTCAGTACATTTCTGTTCGGGATTATTTCAACCTTCTTAGATGGTTAAATGTGTAAATCTATTATATATAAATATAAATATTATGTATATATTATATATAAATTCATACAGAGGTGTTAAATATACTATGAACTGTGTCTGGGATCTTAGACTTGTCTTTGCATGATTATAAGGAATAGTCATCAAATATAGGGTAGATTTAGAGAAAAAGGTTTACCAAACATAGATTTACTATGTATTATTTCAACTTGAGATTCATTAGCCCACTGGTAAATTAGAGCCACAACATTTACAATTGAGAGAGAAAAAATGAAACTGTACGATATCATTTTTTATAAGAAATAGTGCGCTATATATTGTTTCCTGATTCTTGTTCTCCTACTCTGCAGTTGGATAATTTCAATGAGTAGATGGTGTAAGGGACGTGCCGGAGGATAATAAAACATAAATTGTAGCAAGATATTTGTTTATTATTTTTTTACAGAGTAACATTCTTGGTATTTTTTTTATTTCCGGGACCTTATTTTTTACTGCTGGTAAATAACATTATAACCGTTATAAATCATAGATTTCGGTAATTCTAGATATGGTTTGGGCCTACATGTATGGATGAAAAATAATAACGATTCTGTCACAACAGGATAGGATTATTTTAAAGTCGATAGCTAAAAATCAAAGGTCACTATATATTTTTAACACTAAATTATTTTAAAAATCTTTTATTCGTGCGATAAGTTAAAGGAAAGCGTGTAGATTGACATGTAAGAAAAACATTTTAGATGATGAGGGTATGTGGAGAGCATATAAGTTAGATTTTGACTAAAAGGTACAGTAATGGTAGAATTTTCTGGTAGAACTGGTTTTAAGAAAAACTTGCTGCTGTTGACAAGACTCGTTCTTCCCTCGTAAACCATTTTTGTGAAGCTGAGGTTACGTAATATTTTAGGGGGCATTGCAGACATGTTCAATCTCGAACAATGAAAATCAAAGTATTCACGACGTTTCAGGATCTGGGATTGTTTCAGCTTTATTTAACACATTATCCATAGATATTCTGGATTTATAAAGATGCTCCTTTCTAGTATATGTTTTGTTGCATGTATAGATCAACAATGGATGGGGAATTGAAATCACAGTTTGAAATCTCCAGAAATACACAAGGGTTCGACATTTTACCCTAACTTGTAAACCCTATTTTGAGCTTCGGTAATATATTTTGGCTATTAAGTTTGACTACGTTTTCTTCCCTTGGATCTTATTTCCTAGTTTTAGTTTTGATTATGTTGCTAAGCTTCTTTTACCTCATTTACTGCTGTTGTTTTGATTATCAAACCTGTAGTTTTCTAGCTATTTTCATAGAGTGTTTTGTGGTAATTAGGATTAGTTAGAGTGGTATGAGCAAGTAATCATTTGAAATGTTTAGTTGGACAAAAAGTGAAGAGTTTGAGTAGAATTGTTGTTACTATACAAAGAATAATAAAAACGATTGTTGTATGTCTTTTTTTCGAGCATACTTGACACATAAGTTAATAAATATATTAAGAAGAAAATTAAATATCATGAAACTGTTACCTTCTCATTCAATATTTCAACTGTAAACGTTTTGTTCGTTTATAATATTTGAAAGGAGCAAGAATAGTTTAATTAAATGGATTATCTATCAATACAAACGTTAAGGGTTATTTTCATTTGTATAAGTTAGCATATTATCACACTTTACAAGAGTTTTGCCTTGTGTTAAAGATAGCATTAGTATTTTATTTGAAAAAAAATATTTAATTAAATAAATAATCCATCAAAATATATCCACAATAGTTGTTATTAGTTAACTTTAAAATAATTATGTTTAGATTGACTTTTCGGAGATCAATAAACATGTTAGTTTTTTTTTATATTATATGTTTTTCTAATAACCAAAAGAACTAGATATCAGTTAGGTTTATAAACATAACAGGACTATGATAGTTTTCACATTAAGATATTTAATGTACTCAAATAGTGTTTACATATTAAAAAATAGTCAATGCTAAATATTCCACCTCCAAGCATACATCCAGAATAAAAATACTATTTTAACTTTAAATGCATCCATAAAGGCTAGTGCACTGTTACAGCTATTTATGTAATAGGTTCGAGTAATTAAAGAGTTTGGGAACTTAGCTAATGTGATTAATCTTCTCAGTAAATATTGTTGTATTTATTTATCCTTAATGACCACAACTTTTGTGAAGGCATGTATTCTAATTCTGGCCAAATTTACAGGAAGCAACAGTGACAACCCAAATGTTGCCAAAGCCGAATAGAAAAATCAGCCGCCTAAGGACTATCGGACATCAGATAAGGTACGCTGTTCGGACTCCAATCACAAACCTCATTTTACTAGTCTATAGTTTGTACAATACAGTAGGGCTGTGTTGCAAATAAAATAATGTTTGGTTTGCAGCAAACAATGCAGTTAATATTAATTAAAAATATATTTGTAATATAGACTTACTATAACGCGTCAGCAGTTAGAATCGTAACGGCGTTGATGTGCATTGTGCAAGTTTCGGCTAGAATTATTTCAAACATATTAATTCAGAAAGTAAATTAAATCATTTCTTAGTAGTTTTGTCAATGATTTATACACTTAAAATAGGCCTCCCTCGGAAAAACTTTCCTCGTTCATGAGCTAGAATCTCCTTGAGATGAAATAAAATTTAAAAAAATGTATTTTTCAAATCTTTTGTTTTGATTCATATTGGAAAATAGTTACACTTTTTCAGCACTATAAACTTGTTTCCTTCCTTATTTTAGGGCACAATAACCCAAATGTCATGTTAAATAAGCTTCTTATAATGGTTTTGAGTCAGGTGTTTCTACAGTAATCTTTTTTAATGAAATTTTATCGATTTAATTGTAGTACAAAATGCTCATTCTGTGTGTAGACCAACTGAACTTAAATTTCTATAAAATATAATTATTAAGTCCTCTAAAAATGTGGTGTCCTAATGATTATTGTCATCAGTTTCACTGTCTGTGAAACTAACTTTGAAAAGTGTTGACTGAATTCCCATCAAATGTTTGACATTTCGAACATGTTTCAACTTTCAATTCCACTGGTGTTAAAGCCAACAAAACAAACTGTTCATGTTTTGAAATATGTTTCTAATTGTTAATTGTTTTAAACTTATTCCTTCTCTGAACTTTTACCTCAGGTTTTTGCGGAGACTGGAGCGGAGTATACGGCACGGCTGGGAGACGCCCGAGCCCCCAGACTCCCCCAGCCTTGAGCCCCTGACCAGCCAAGGGGGCGTAGCCCGCGGGGGGCGAGTGCGAGGAACTGTCAGTGACGAACCTTTGCTCAGCAGAGAGGACCGGGCATGGCGACGAGTCAACATTATAAGAAGTGGACATACGGATTAAACTTATGGACTACCTATCGGAAAATTTTGGGTCCAGTGAACTGCGGCGGTTAGTTTTAAGTTAATTCAATGTAACATTTACAAAACTGACCATTAAAAACATGTAAAACTGTTACAAAAACAAACTCACATATATGTAAGTTTTTTTTTTTTGACAAATAAAACAAGATCAATTTTTATGTTTTTGAACTAACCTAATCTAACAGCCGCAACACGTTGTCAAAGACTGGCCCTCGTGTCAAAAAGACCAAAAAGATCTTGTAATCATTTCACTTCTTATTCGATTGGGATTGAATTAACGAGACATAACCAGGCTTAGCACCGAGTCAAAACTATCCCTTAAAATGATTATTGATTGATTTGGAAAGATTAAAAGTGTGGGTAGTTATAATTTGACTGTTAAGTGAAGCATACTGAAAAAATATCGATTCATGTAAATTTTGTACGTGGTATGTAATGACTTTAGTAATGTGAGGATGCATATGGTACCGTAGGACTAATAGAAGCTAGGGTTTACTACATGGTTAAAAAATAAACATCTAGCTGAACTATTTCTAAAAAAAATATAATAATATATACACTCTTTAAAACAATACATGATTTCCATTTTATATAAACTCTCACATAAATAACCCAGAGAACAGCTCGTTTGGATGTTGATAGCAAAAAGTTTTTAAACAAGTTTATAAAGTTTGCAATTATTTTATGGTATTTTCAAATCCGATTTGTAACATATTTTATTGATAAAACTTAGTAATTTTTTTAATAATGTTTGTTGAAGCTATTTTGTTGAGGGTTTTACGATGTATAAACACTGTTATATGATTATGTTTTTTCTCATTTCATTATTGGTCCAAATATGGACTGCTACTTGCTGTAGTGCTGTCGAGATTTAATATAAAAGAGATCGTTGTTATGAAGAATTTTAAGAATCGATTAGTGTAGTAATTTAAGAAGGAAGATGGAATCATATACAATGCCATCCTTATCTATCCAGTTTATTATAGTAACAATCTGCCTCACGATCAGAATCTGAATCTTTAGAATCACCATCATTCATAGAAATGTGCATTAATCATGCATATATCCATGATATGTTTTTACAATTAATACCACACACATATAAATAAAGGTAATATCAATTCCTTTGAAATAATTTAAGTTTTTTCAGTCAAATATATACAAACCGGTATTAGTGTTTAACTTGAGTGTCGAATGAATTTTAAAGCTATATTTTTTATAAGTCCACTGAGTAAAGTGAAATATTTCGATCTAACAACTATGGTTTTTTTAAAGGTGGGAACCATCTTATGCTGGAATATTTTATTTGATTCACACTTTATTGTTTTGAAATATACTTTTATAGTTATGGTTTTAGGCACACAACTATTTAGTGTGTCTTGTTAACTTTTAAAATGGATTCGATATATCAAAATGGAATCAGATACCTAAGTATCTGATTTCATTTTGATATATTGGCTATTGAACATTTAAACAAAAAGATGTTCATTAAAATATCTGTGACAAAAACCATTTCTGAGAATACGATAATTATTATGATGACCAAATAATAATGTTCTGTTGAAAGATTTTCTTTAAAATTAACAATAATCATGTATTACTTCCTTTACGTGGTATCTTCTCCTAAATTCTTCAGTAAATTTTTTCAATGGTTTCTTCACCTAAATGAAAGACTGGCTGTTACGTATGACCACAGAATGAAGAGTATACAATACTGTCTACTTCTTTATTCTGTGTATGATTAGTTCAAAACAATTCCTCAGAAACCATTCTATACTTTAGTTCTTTTAACTTATATTTTTTAATATTATACGTATGTGGTTGAAAATAAGCCTTTGACAATTTAAATACTCATTTATTCTAAAGTATAATGGCAATGTTTCGGTGTTTGATGTTTTTATATGGTTGTTGTTTTTGTATTTTTCAACATTGTATGTCATAATTGTGCAAAAATCATAGACAATCAATGCATGTCTAAAACCAGTCATGGAGAAATTTTGATGGGATTTGTCTGCATAATTTTTATTTATGTTTAAAGCGATTTATTCCATAAGAATTTTTAAAATTATTTAAAAGTATATTTACACTATTTTTTGCATTAGCTCCATTATAAATAGCAGAGGCAACCAGCTTTAGGTAAATTTATTTATTCCAATTATTATGTCTTCAATAATCCAAATAATTGTAATATAAAAAATTGTAGTTTTAGTACTTTTACTACTTCAATGATTTTATCCAACTGCTATCATTCGTCATGATAATTATTATTCTCGTCTTTAGTAGGAATTTAGGATCGATTGCAAACAAAAGATGGCAATGTTTGGAAGTAAAATAATGAAGAGAAATAAAGTATTTGAACCAACAGACAAAAGTTAAAATTCCGACAAGTGTTTGACACTGAATATTGTGTTCATAAGTTATCATCAAATCCCAATTAATGCTAAGTAATAGGTTTTATCACACTGTTCATTTAAAGAAAGTTAATGTGTTTGGACTCCAATCAACGGTGCAATAATTACTTAGCTTAATGTAATTGTGTCGTCTGTATATTTTTATACTGGTCCACTTTTCCCATATGTTTCTGCTGTATTTTCTATAAGATTCTATAAAATACTATAAACCATGTAAATAACCATTGTTACATTATTTTAAAGCGTTTTGGTGTTGTATTTACTGAGTGGTTATGTTTTCTTCTTTCATCAAAATGCCATTAGTGATGGAGTTTTCCTAGAATTTAAATTATATTGCACCCAGGGTTGATTAGGGTTTACGTTAAATATCTTATTTACATATTGATAAATATTCCGCTCATGTTAGGAAAATAGATGTGTGTTAATTTTTTTATCTAGGTAAAAATACCCTATTCATATGTTTATGAAGAATATATTTATTGTTACATATTCAAACATGTTATTCCTATTTCTATGTAAAGGTCTACAAAGATTTTTATAAGTCAGTTTAATTTCTTCTTTTTATAATATCGTTTCCTAGATCTTCTTAAAAATATTATTTCCTATACCAATCCTTCAATTTTATTTATTTTTTCAGCGTTTCCAAATTTAGTACTGTAATATATTTTATAAGAATTTTATCAACATTTACGATTTTCCAATGTTTAAGTTTTACCCATCTAATAATCTAATAAGTTAATATTGACCAAATCTAATTTATAATTGTTTCAATCTATTTTGTTTTTTTTCTCTTTTCTTACAAACATACTTGTTCTATTTTAATCCCTACAGTAATACTCAGCACATGTTATCCTTTGTTTTTTAAACGAGAAAAAATCTTGTACATATTTCCAAACATGTTGTCAACTGTGATATTATTAATTTAAATAAAGCACAAGGAATGCATATTATGTTTTGATTATTCAAAGTTAATATTGACGTAGTATACTCTGTCAAATATATTTCTTAATAGCAAACTGTTAGAACCACCTAGAATAGTTAGTGGGCCAATGCAACTTAGAAAGTTATTTTTATTTGTTAAGCATATTTCCTTTTGCTTGTCTTTTTGTGGTTAAATTTACGATAGTCCACTCAAATGTTTTATAAGTAATATAATTTGTTCAGGCAACTCTGTGCGTTAGATATACATTTCTATTGACTATGAGGTATAAATTAGAGCATTACTTCAATGTTAATTTCAACATACATTTAATGAAATGACCAAAACAAAACTACTTTGAAGTATTTTTCAAGTATGAAAATAAACTATGCAATGTGATAGTATTGTATTTATACAGTTTTTCTGGTACAATAATTATGTTTTCGGAAGAAAAATTATATGTATCTCATTTCGAAATGTCCTTTTAGTTCCTAAAATCCAAGAGGTCTTGTAATATATTAATTTAAAACAACAATTAAATTAAATTACATTGCTAGCCTTTTTTACTTTCTTCGTAATTTTGATCTATGTACAGAGTTGAACTTTACCTTTAGCTGGTTTTATTTATATCATTAGGTTTTAAATTCCTAGTTTAAACTACTGTAGGATGCACTTCGGAATCACTGTTATTCTCTGTCAATTGCTTAACACTTGCGTCTCACCACAGAATATATAACGTTTTCTTTAACTGATTGTGTATTTTATTTCCTCATTCTAACATTTATACCTTCTATATTCAATTATATTTATTAATTACGTTATAACAAATAACATTTAAAGCAAAAAACTGGTGATCTTGACTAACAAAAATACCCATTTTGTTTAATGAGGTTGTTTTATCCCCTCCATGGAATCATATTACTGCTTAACAGCGTATTCAGATGGGTAAGTGATTATGATTAATGAAAAAAAATTGCAATAGTATGAGATATAAGGTAATTAATATATACTAGCTAGTGTACCTGTTGCTCGAATTCAAGCAATTGCTAAGTATTACAGACGTTATTTAAAAACGAATAACAGTCATAATTTCTGATGAATTAAAAAGATTCGACTCAAATATTAAGCGAATAACAGTCATAATTTCTGATGAATTTAAAAGATTCGACTCAAATATTATGGAAATACTCAAGATGTACATAACAGACTGATATAATCAACATTTCTTGTAAATATCGTATCATTTTTCAAAAGCTGATCTTGTTTTTTAGTGTTTTCTACAAATAGCCTTACTCATAGCCGCATTAGGTTGTCCATGATAACAAATATAAATTTAAAAAAAATATTTCTTCTTCTTCTCCTATGTTTCCATAGTTTGCAAATCAGCTCTTTCAATGATTACTAAGAAATGCAGCACAGAGACTGTGTTAATTCAGTTTTCTTTTTAGTATATCAAATTATCCAGGCTCTCTCTCTTTTTCCCATTGTAATATTTAAATAATAGTAAATATTTCATTTTAATCAATTCAGTAAATGTTTGTGGCAAACTGTTAAATTAGCAAAGTTATTGCCTCTTTACAATTAACATATGTTCTTCTTCTCAATTTTAATTTCTGACAACAGCCGGAATTTCATAACAATGTTTGTTTCCCATGTTAAATCTTATGGAGAAATACGAAACTTTAAAGGGCCTCAGGGCCTCACTCTCTAATTATTTCCCTAAACAGAAAGTTTCCTGCACAACTTCACGTTACGCTCTTTCCAATGACACCAAAAACATATAATATAATAGGTTACGTACCTTATTCCGTCTTCAGTCTTAACTTAGTCAATGCTGGATGACTAGTTTCGGGAACAAAGTCCCATTATCAAATCCTTATTTAAAACATCAATTGAATATGGTCAAATATCGCCGACGTAAGTCTTCATCAATGTATACATGCAGGTTGACGACACATAAAATTTACACATTTTACATAAATAAAAGTTACAAATACATTTACGATAGGCCGGCCACATTGAATACGGGACAAACCGACGCAGGTTACACGGCGGACTCAGTAACCTGAGACTGATTCGATTATCAGTCTTGGTGGCAAAGATGTTTAAACCAAAAACATGTCAATCGGTTCAGTAGTTTCGGAGGAGTAATTGTCACAAAAAAACTGCTTGAGTATTAAATAATTATATATACAAAATATATACATATATAGAAATAGATATTGTTAGTTGTTGCTATATTTGTTGTACCATTATCTTAGTTGCTAAATATATACATGATGTGCAACTACATCAAACAGCTGAGTAGATATAAGTGGCCTTGTAAACAGAAGGCTGCTAAATCGACGACCCTGAGAAAATTCAGTAGATTTTTGAGGATTTGAAACTTGATCCAGCAGTTCAATATAATCGGGCATTTAACATAATAATGATCACATCTTAGTCATAACAACGCTATCATTCATGCAACATTCAGCTTTCACTCATGTTAGAACTTAAAGCAATAAATATTTTTCCATATTAAAATTCACTGTTAGTGGCCGGTCTAGCTTGATTTCTTAATTAAGTTATTTACTGCTTAACAAGTTTGGTGTTACAACAATATCTCGAATTGCAACAAAAAGGTTTAGTATATTGATTGAGGTGTATCATAGTATTTAAAAAACAATTCAATAGCGTTTACAATATGGTTTTGGTAATACTCCGTTGTCTGTGGTACAGTGGTAGATACAAACTGACGTACTGCCTTGCCGACATTGCACACATCCGCCCACTAGCCCAACATGTCGACGATGTTTGAACTTCTTGCAACAACACTAAAACAGAATACTGTTTACTTGTTTAATTATTCACTCATTATTCGTTGTATGTTTATTTCGGGATCATATTAGAATTTAAATTTTAGACAATTTAAAGTCCATTGAGTATCCACAAGCTACATGAATAACCACTAAGTTAATAAAAAATATTTTCCTAGTTTATTAATAAAAAACCGCCGTAAAAAGCTACTTTTATATTGTATCCCAGGTCAACAAATGCAATATATTTTGCAAAATAACCCCTTATAATGTAGATAAAAAGTACTATATTTACTGTTCTGTAAGATACACAGTATTTTTTTGTTAATGAAATAGGTAAATATTTTTTATCGTTACCAACTTTTACATACCAAAAAACAACATGTAGTCTTTTTTGTAGACTACATGTTGATATACCTTCGTTCGAAGTTTCATTTAAATATCTACATTCTAAGTGGTTATTTTGCCAAATGTATTGCATTTGTTGACCGGGGTCAACAAAATAGGGAGTCTCCCATAATATAGGCAGTTAGAGGTGAGTGGCAAAATTATATACTAACAATCCATACTCATACACTCTCTTTTAATTTTCTTTTATAACCTCTATTTGCCGTTGATAGTGATGCAACGACTCATTGTACCAACCATTGATTGCACCAATCATTAACAATTAAATTGGAAAACAGCTGATTAGATGAAGCTCGAACCTCGAACATTACAGTTTTACGTCTTCTCCCAATCATTGAACCTCATTGGTCCGTTACTCGTGTTGGAGTTGATAGGTGTAAGACAATATAAAATACTAATAAATGTTTCAAGTAAAGAATGTGATTTATTATTATTTAACAAGAGACATCATAGTACACAACATATTATAAAACATATGTTAAATGCAAAGTGATGTGAATGACACTTCATTAAGTAAACATACAATACATGCTACAACAATGAAGTAAGTCAACAACGCTGTTTTAAGTGAATCTTTTCAATTCCAAGAACTAGAACTGAAACGGCTAGTTAAAAAACGGTCGTAGGTAAATATATTTTCTGTAACTTTAGGGCACATGATTTGTGCATTACTGTATGGTCATTAAACTAGAGGACGAGCTGTTGTTTTAAATTAGATCGTTGCATTTGGTTAAACTAGTTTAAAACGACAAGAAACCAATTGTTAACAAAAACACTCTCTCTATAATGGACCCAACGAAACAAATTAATAATTGTCTTTAGCTTAGCAATTCAATAACATGACAAATCTATAAAAAAGTATGTTAAAGCTACCACGTTGCTTCCTTTAAATCTGCACTGATAACACAACACCAAACCATCGACTAGGGACAATGGTCAAACTCAACGTCCGAACACACCACACCGTCCGCAGGACAACAATGTGCAATGGCCCACTAGAGTGATTAGAGTCTATTTCCGTTTCCTGCGTCAGTTTAGTTATCAGTGAGCTACACCAGCGCTGCGACGGTGGACTGCGCAACTACAAGATAGAGGAACAGTTCATTGCCACCATTCTCAGAGAGTCGGTTCTCGGTTCAGTTTGTTTTGGTTCGTTGGCGAAGCCGTGAGTGGAGCGTGTTATAGCATTGTTGTTGTTGTGCTAGAGCAGACATGGATGTGGAGTTTAGAAACTTAACGTTCAAAGTGGACAGAGGATTACCGTTTTGGAGAAGTAAAGGTAAATAAATGCCAATTTTATTATATATTGCATTTTCCCTTGTACTACTAAACTACCTAGGGGTGTACCCTATGTTTAGTAATTTAAAATAACTGCGGTTAATTTTGACGTTAGTACAAGTATGATAAAGACACCTGTGATGTTTAAACTATTAGCATGTGATGTTAGTATTGAATTGATGTATGTATTATCTTTCTGTTATCTAGTCGCATGTTTTCTTGTAGTATTTATCGATTGTTATTTTTACCTAATTCTATCCATTGTTATGCTTGCTATTCAACCAGTTTTTTTCCATTAGCATGTGATGTTAGTCCCTATCTGCCTTTTAATAAATCCTGCAAAAAACAAAAAAAAAGTAAAAGAGCATGAGAAAAGGCAGAAGGGAAGAAAATTTAATTAGGATCTTTCAATATTGTATCTGATCAGCATGTCAACCCTGTTATGTCAACCCTGTAAAAATGGTGTTATACCGTAAACAAATAAATAAGAATAAACTGAAGTAGCCTAGTATAACTTAGATAACGTTACGGTAACAGGTGTTTAAATAGCACACTGCTGTATTTGATAAGGGAATGCATGTTAAGTTTGATCAAACCATCGATATATCACTATCGATGGATCAAACACCTTCCACAGTCACTTTTACATGGCATGGAACTCAAGTTTGGTTTAATTTACAAACAATCCTTCAGATTACGGTATTATACAGTATTGTCATAGTTTTCTTACTGTCCGTCAGTTGTTGCCAATCATATTTAAGTATAATGAGGTAAGTTTAAATGTATAAATTTTGTAATATAACAATATTTTCTATTCAAGTAATTAAGTACCTCATTGTTAATAAGTAATAATACATTACTAGTGGTCGCCTCGTGGTAGAGAACTCGACCAAAAAATATGTATTTTGCAAACTTCTCTATTTTCTCTGTAAATAAAACATGTGATTGGAAATTCTTCCAATCTTCCAATTTGTTTTGGTTTTCTGTTTATATTTCGTCCCCAGCATGGCAAACCATAAGGCCCATGTTCATTTTTTAAATTTTAAATTCATTTTTTGTGCTTGATTTTTAACTTATTTTAATTTATAAATTATTATGGATTCTGCACATCTACGGGCATATCTTTCTAACGGTAGGCCTATAAGTAGATTTTCCCTGCGATGCACATGAGCTGAGAAAAGAGTTTTTTTTTAAGAAACATGCTTGCCTATTAATATATAGATTATAGACATTTCCAAATAACATTTTTTTTTAATACCAATATATCCCTAAAGGTTATAGTGTGTATAGACTACAGTAAATATATTTTTACAGTATTGACTATGAGGCTATAATATTTTATAATTGGATATAGTAGAATACCGTTGTTTAAATGGACGGATATTCATGTTGTATGTCATTGATATCTTAGAATAACAATGCATGTATGTGACAACGATCAGATCACCACAGGGTGATGATAAGGGTAATCACCAGTGTGTAGGCCACAAGGTCGAACCTCGCAACACCGATTGTGTCATCTGGAATGCGAATGTGAGGGTAGGTCAGACTACTGAACGTATTTTATATAGGCTTACGTAGGCCTAATATTTGTCGTAGGAATTAATATTTTGTTTACAGGAAAAATACAAACATGTACACTATAATCCTTCTACGATATTGTTGTGGTGATGTATTAAGAAAATTAAGTTGGACAATACTGTAAGGGTTATTGTACTTTTGCTAGTTATAATGTCGCTGTCTGCAAAACAGGATTTAATCATATCTATTTATTTATTTGTTTCCCAACGGATTACACCATTTTACAATATACATGTATACAATATGTAAACAGATGGCATTTACAAGATTGCTAGATAGTGACTAGATGTAAAAGAGACAGGTACAAGCTGTTTAAAATCACAATAATGACACAGACAATATATACTGTAAAACCAATTTGGGAACGAGCCGCATGTTGCGACAAAGTTTTTCCAGCATTGAGAGTTGAAGGAAACTGTTTCACTTACTGAACTGCTCTAGGACAGCATATTAAGTTTCCTATTCCAGCATGTTAGAGGTCATTAGTTTCCTTAATTCATTAACGTAGATACCAATAATTTGAATTCAAAATATGTTGTAAGGGTTGTAAGGTATACATTTTGTTTAGGTCTCTTGGGGACATCAATTTAAAGTTTTGATTTGCATGTGTAAATATTCCATGTTATAGTTTAAATTGCATTTGTGGCATTGTGAACATTAGTGTACCTATATATTATTTTTTTATAAACCTGTGGAAAGTTATTTGTAGAAGCATGTAGATGCGATTTGTAGAGCTCTGTAAAATGTTTTTTTTCAGTCCAAATGCATTGTTATATTGGAAGGAAAATTAAATATTCTTAATCTTATTCATTCGTTTATTCAATCATACACTTATTTAAAGAATCACGAACAATTGGGAAACGAAAACTGAATAATTATGTTTTAAAATAAAGACTGGCCGTCACGAAGGGTGGTCAGAAATCATTCTTTTTTAATGTGTACAGGAAAAATAACAAGTTAAGTTGCAATTCTTAAAGCACCTACAAAAATAGTTTTTAGACCAAATATTTGGCCTAATTAGTAACGGCTTTATTGTCAAAACAAAACAATTTTCTACACCGATACCTTTAAGGAGCAGAGAAAATCACCTAGTCATTTACAAACAAGCGGCTAAATTGGGGAGACACGGCGTCTTAACTACTTTGTTTACACTTCGGAATTCGTCAAAGTAGCTGCCTAAGGTTCTGATTTGAGGTGATTCTGAGCTTTTGTCGTTATTATGACTCTCCAGTGCTTCCAGTGTGCAATCACCACACGAACATTGTAGTTCAAATAATATTTATACAGTAGTTAGTTTTACTATTACATTAATTTAAGGTTTTACTCGTCCAATTGATAGGTTGTCAGTAAGTATCCAAGAGTGTTCCAAACATAAGGAAACATAATATTTATTGCAAATTACGGTGTAAACGCGGCTTTTGAACCTGAATATTTACAGTGAAGCTTAATACTTGTTTTCTTTTAGAGAGTTTCTTTATGGTTAACTTAATGTCGGTGATGCCATCTTGGAGCTGAAGTAAGAGAAATAGAATATTCCAAACAGGCCTTTGACCCATGGATGATTCCTTGGTGTTTTACATAAACTAGCATGTAAACATTTCAAACACACGGTGTAATTTGGTTAAGAAATATGAAAGAACATACTACAAGTATTTGTGAGGAAATCCAGGGTAAAAAAGTAAAAATGTGAGTGAAACATAGCCTACACCATCTTGCCAGCTGGTATATGACCTGCGACCTGCAACATCAAAAATAACGGGACTGGTAGGTTGTCTCTTGTTGGGGACAGACACCTCCCTCCGTCGAGCTCACCAACCACACTTGGCTACAGGGCGCCTTGACTTTACAGCATGAATTGATCTAGTAACGAATACATACTGAAATACACAACATATAAACTAATGCAAGTATTTACAAACATAATGGGAACTTAAGTCTAGAACTTGCTATTATTATTTTATCCCAACCTGAAAGTTTGGAAGTGATTTAAGGAAATCTAAGTCTGCTACATTTCGATATTTAATACAGTATAAGTCAAGTCAGTGAGATATTTGGTGTCACCCACGTATTGATAAACAAAACTCCAAACATTGATATGTAGTCTTTCTCATTTTGGTTTCCATGATTATAAGGGTTTAAACTCGAAATGTCCATTTTTACATCTTGCTCATGCGAACGGGCATTTAATAAATGGTAATCAATTAAGAACTGTGACGTGCTCTATGGAGTTATGGCAATGTTTTGCGTGGTGTGAACTTTTTCCATATTTTAGCGTGTTTTGCCCGAAGATCAATAAATATAAATTTAGAAAGCTATATTTCCAAAATTTGTATTTAAGATTATCATAAATCTACAAAGATGTATTACTATTTAACATCCCCGGACACATATATGAAGTACCTTCCTAGTTTTCATGGCGATCGGATGAATGGTTTGGTAACACATCGGACAGGCTTTTATAAAGAGATAAATACTGTTATGGGGACAATCTACTTTCTCTTTGTATTTATGGGGCAAAATAAAACTTAATGACCTTCAATAAAGAGGTTATACTATACTTCACAGACATTCCGCCGGTTTGCTATAAACTTTTATGTGGTTGCAGTACGTGATGAGGTATTTGCACAAGATGATATTTTATGTCAATTATTTTAATTAGATGTATATGTCATACAGTATCAACAAAGACTGTTGCAGTATAGACTTGTTACTGTCTCTTTCGCCTAGTTCCATTTTACAGTTAGTAGGCCTACTGTATTATGATTTTTGTACCGGACGACAAAATTAGTTCGAATTCATTTTCTACCCATCGTTGTAAACACCTGCTGGAAACGCTAAAGTGCATGCATAGTTTTTTATTACGTCAACTGTGACTGTGTGTACAAAATGCGAATCAATTATTAATTATTTAAGATGGGGACGCCACTATGTGCGTATTTTAACCCAAATATGAGTGAAGGATGAGTGTATAATGAGTGGCGCGATCTTGTAGTCTTGTTAGTGACTAAGGCCGACATGTTCCTTAGACACAGCTGTTAATTAATAGCCCATACAGCTAATGGCAACTAAGGGACCTACAGTTTAGAGTGGAGTCCGAACCACATTTTTCCTTGGTATTTAACGAATTGGTCTAACTATCAGGATAGTACTGCGGATAGTCGAGTACTCACTCGTGCGGACGTTAATCCACACCAGGGAGCATCGCATCCACAGTGTATGCCTATAAATATCCACAGAGTACACACTGTACAAGTATTTTTTTCTATATTTCCGTGTTATCACAGTGAAAAGGGCTTATTTAAGAAATGTGGAACCCAGACAAAACAGTTATTATTGACATAACAAATTTTTAATACATCGGACAGAAAATTCTAGATACACCAATTAAGTTTACCCGAAGGATCACTACTGTGGACAACA